TGTGTGTGTGTGTGTGTGTGAGAGAGAGAGAGAGAGAGAGAGAGAGAGAGAGAGAGAGAGAGAGAGAGAGAGAGAGGGGGCCCAGGGGAGGGAGAGGGAAGGGGTAAATGGGAAACACAGGCTATAGTGGTTTCTTTTTCTCTCCTGATCGGGAAAATGAGTAGAGGCAGGGCAACACCGGGAAGGAGTGGAGAGGGAAACAAACAGCCATGACGGCGGGACATTATGATGGCTCTTGATGACCAGGGCAGAACAGGTCTCGGGATCCCAAATGCAATGAGCGGGAGAGGAGGTGGGGGAGTAAGGACGAGGGGAAAGGAAGATGGGTGTGGCAGTCATTGGGGATTTAAGATCAGGGCGATGCAGGACAAGTGCAGCCATTGTGGGGAGAAGGGATCAGGTGAAAGGAGGACAGGTGTCACATTTGAGGGAAGGGAGTGGGTAAAGAGACACAAGCTGCACCACGTGGGGAGGGTTAGGGGGACTTGGGGGGAGGGGGGTGTAAAAGGCACGGTACGTGGTGCAGCCCCGTGGCTCGATCGTCTTTTTCGCTGTGTTTTTTTTCTCTTTTTCTGGCTCGATCGTCTTTTTCATTTATTTTTTTGTTTTCCTTCTTTGGTGTGTGTGAAAGAGAGGGGGGCTGGAAGGGGGAAGGCGAGAGGGTTGGGAGGAGGGAAAATGCAGATGAGTGTTCTGTTTTCTTCGTTTTTCTTTTGTTCGTGTATGGCTCGATCGTCTTTTTCGTTTTGTTTTTTCTTTTTGCTTTTCTTTTTTTGTGTGTGCCAGGAGGAAGGCGAGAGGGTGAGGAGGAGGGAAAAGGGTGATGGGTTTTCTTTTTTTTCGTTTTTCTTTTGGTGTGTGTGGCTTGATCGTCTTTTTCGCTCTTTTTTTTGTTTTTCTTTTTTTTGTGTGTGTGTGAGAGGGGGGCTGGGAGGGGGAAGGTGAGAGGGTTAGGAGGAAAGCAGGGGAGGAAGGCGAAGGCTCGAGATCGCGTGGCTGCTTAATCGTTTCCTTATCGTGTTTTGGTCTTGTGTGTGTGTGTGTGTGTGTGTGTGTGTGTGTGTGTGTGTGTGAG